CCGCCAGTGGCGTGGAGAGGAGGAGCGCTGACGTTGTGGAGGGGCCGACCTTGGAGGGGAGAGGAGGGGCTGGCCGTGATGGGGGGATGAGGAGTCGGCCGGCAGCGTGGAGGGGATAGGTGGGGTCAACTGACGACGCGGAATGAAGAGGAGGCGCCAAGAAAATGATGGTTGTGAGTGTAGATAGTGAGAGGATTGCCGTGTCTTGTGGCCGTTGTGTAGTGAGGATAAGGTTGCGTAGGTTTATGTTTCATATGCATTCATCGGCTGACACATCTTGTAAATCATTGACAACATGCGTGTCGTGCATATATCGTGGACCCTATGCATACATCATTGTCGCCATAGATTAAAACTCTGAGGCACTTAGTGAAACCACAAAGATTTGTGAGGGAATTTAACGACGCACTCGACATAGCGTAACCTGGCTGGAATTCCGACATGTCTATAGATGACAACATATATTTCTGGTTGGTATTCGAGCGAGGATAAATGAGTAAATTTATATATTTCATTGTCATAACATTTAAGATAGAATCATTTCTTTTTGTTATCACTACATTCAACATAAATTCAAGATAATATTAATTTAGAAATTTGCATGGATGTGTTTGGCTATCTTGTTTATAATTTTATGCTCTCATGAAATCATAAATAATTGGCCCGTCAGGTTTGCAAGGTGAGTATTCTCCATTGAATTTTTTTAAACCTACCATATGAAATATCCGTATTAACTACATATAGTACTTGCGCAGGCTGGTTTTGAGTTTAGGGAGAAGTTTCTATTGCTCAAATGTCATGCGAATGAAGCTAAAGATAATATTCTTGATATTGTGCGACTATATATTAAGCGCATCAAGTACTCTGTCCGTCCTAAAAAGCTTGTTTTGGATTTGTCTACATACGGGTGTATTTAAACAAATCTAAGACAAGCTTTTGGGATGGAAGTAATAGATTTTAATTCATAACAGATTATTATTGAATCATTGCTCTTTATGTATAGATTACCAAATTATTTTTCTATGAACTTACATTGCAAGCGAAGTGTATTTCAATTACTACTCAATTGTTATTGGCTATCTTTTCTATAGATGCAAAATTTAACATACATTATGTTCAAATATATAACTCCAACAAAATATTTCAAGAGCCCGTGGCAACGCACGGGCATTCTACTAGTATTACAGAATTGTAGAGTTGAATACAGGAACATGACCTGACACATCTATCAAGAAAAGTAGCCTTCATGTTTGCTAATTTTCTGTAAAACGGATTTAATGTGCAGTTCTTGAGGATGTAACCCAGGCAATATCGGTAGGAGTACTAATTAGCATGCGCTATATGCTCTTCACGTGTGTATGCGCTGATGTTGACTACACTATGCAGGCTGCAGGTGCCTGTGCGGCCTATGCTGATCACTGTGTACATGCAGAGTGGACACTGTATGGCTCTGCTAATTGCCTGCGTTAATGAGCCTTACGCGGTCAGAAGGTGGACTCATGATGCATTCAGCCACACGGATCACGAAGTGAAGAAACGGCCAAGATAGAGGGTACCGGGAAGCTCGTCCTACACCACAACTTTCCTATATACGTCCTGCACACCTACTAACCAGCACCATTTCCTCTCGTATAGGCGTACTACAAAGGGCCGTTGGGAGTCTATTGGCTAAAGTACCTTCCTGACACCCTCTCCTCCAACACCAGCAGCGCTTCTTCTGATCGAATAGCCGTTGGAGTCTTGTACTGACTGGCCGATGTGCCTCTGGACAGAAACAAGTCCATGAGAGCATCAAATGCGCCACGCTCAAGTACCCTTATCTCGAGTGCTGTGATCGACCCTCGGCGCCTGCTTTCACGGTACATCTGATCAAAGCATTCCTCCACGGCCAAACAGCAATTCTCCATGACAGCTCGATCGATATCAGTCGTGACATGGTTACCCTCTCCACTGACTAGCTCCCAGAACAGGACGTAGTGGCCCGGCAAGGTGGATATGTCTGCATATGCAGTGCTGCCACCAAGCATGTAACCAAGGGGCCTAAGATGCAGCTCGTATGCTTGTGAAATGGCCTTCAGGAGATCCTCCTCGCTTATACTCTCGTAGTCTATTTTTAAGATGACACCACACCGTCCAGTGAAGCGGAACAGTGGCGTTGCGTTGTAGAATCCGCACACAGTAAGAAGGTCACCCACTCGGTATCTGTAAAGACCTGGCATGCAAACAACTGTTAAGTCAAAATCATAGTGTTTCTTACACAAGTTAGACTACAACCCTTTCAGCGGTTGTTGGATTGTTGATTTTATAACACCACAAAGCCTTCAAGTTAAGTAAGCAAAACAAATCAGGCTTACACAGGCAGGATTAATTGCCTTACTGCAGTGAAGTGCTAGTTCAATTCGGTTTCTTAATAATTGGCAGAGCAGATAACTACATTGATCATGTATTTGGACTAACGCCAAGAGAGAATAAATCATGATGTAGTCCTAGCACAGATACAACAGCTTTGAAAGAATGCAAGAAATCAGATTCGAGGTAATAATGAGTAGCTGACCTGCAAAGGTGGTGACAACCAGCTCGTAGCGCCGACCAATTTTGACATCCACAAGATCCACAAGCTTCAACTCGTCCAAATTGTCATACAAACCAGTACTCGCTTGCACCTTTTCATCGTCACCATGCGTGACCTCTGCAAACTCGAAGTAGGCAATGTTTGGAAGCAATGCGTACGACACAGCAGAAGGTAGATCAAGAGGGTTCAGATTGATCCCCGCGGCGCACTCTGTACACACGTACATGGGCGACACCAATGGCAGCCCAGCACCATAACTCTCAAGAACTGGAATGTACTGTGACATCGAACCGGTGACAATGGCGAGGATGTACCGTGCTCCTGGCCAGAGCCTCCTGACTATCCCATCCCAGGGCTTCCTGGCACACTCGGCTGCGATCTCGTCGGCCAGTGCCGGGTCAGGTCCTCGCAGGTGACACGCAGCGACGGCATCACGCAGAGGAGCATGCGTTATCCAGTCGCTGAGACGCCCAGTGCGGATGTTGGAGCACATCTCCTCCCAGTTGTCTTCCAGGAACTGGATGCCTCTGATGAAAGCGTTAGCAAAGGTGCCGCCGACATGGTCGACGACTCCGCGGTCAAGCAGGCCGCAGAGCAGCTGGCAGTACATGCTCTGCCTGCCATCTGGGCAGAGGACCGCCTCGATGGGACTGGTGCACCTGCCGAACCCACCAATGTCGTGCTCCCGGAACTGGCTGCTGTGGTAGTAGGCACTGCTGGATGCCATGATAGGCAGGCCGGACGAGGTCAGGCTTCCAGGGAAGATGAACATGAGGTACATGCCCTTGCCGCGTCTGTCCCCCTGATCAGGATGAAGATGCCTAGAACCATTCAATGCATGCACACTGGTTATTAAGCTGCACAACATTTGCATCTTCCTCAAGCGATCCAATGCATGTAGACAAAGATTATCAAAATAAACTCGAACAAGCGGCCCAATGCTTACATCTTCCTCAAGAGTGCCTGGACGCCATTGTAGAACAGCCGCTGGTCGAGCTTCTCCGCGGTGGACGGGAAGAGCTTCAGCTGCCCGCCGGATGTGCCCGAGCTGCATTAGACGTGGCAAACGCCAATGCCGCCATCACCACGAGAAACATATATACAACACGACCTTCTCACACGAGCGAGTACCGGACACCGCGGGGTTTACCTTGTGAGGAGGTGGGTGATGGGCTCGGAGCAGAGGATGCTGGACGGCTCGCCGGAGGCGATGCGGCGCACGTACGGCTTGATGTCCTCATACCCGGCGACGGGCACGCGCTCCTTGAAGGCCTCGCGGAGGTCGGCGGCCGAGGCGCCTGGTGGTGCGCGATCCAGGAAGCGGCGGAGGTACTCGGTGTGGGAGTTCCGCCTGAGTATCTCCGTGAGGACGTCCCTCTGCAGCGCCGCGGCGTCGGCGGTGAGGCGGTCGATGAGGCCGCGGCCGGCGCCCACGTCCGCTGGATCGAATTCCGGCAGCAACGCCATCATCACCGGGCGGGAAGCACCGGGACCAGAACACGCACAGAAACACCACCCTAGTAGAATTAGCACCTATGACAAACCTCACCGAGCTAGCTATCCGATTTATACTTACATTGCTAGTATTAACTATGGCATGCAAGCCATGCTATCATCCTCTGTCCGCCGCAGGGAGCAACCGCCGGTTCGTCCCGCGCCTCCCCCGCTCGGCGCCGCACCGGATCCGGACGTCCCCGCGCCGTCCACTCAGATTCCGGCCAACCACGACCTCCGGCGAGCCGCTGGAGCCTCGCAGCGGCACGCCGCCGCGCCAGGAACCGCCGCCACATCACCCCAGCTCCTCCGCTCGAGCGCCGACAGCGTGGGTCGCGCCCTAGTGGGCCCCGGCCGTGTGGCCCAGCTCCGTAAGCTCCAACCGCGGCCTGCTAGCCCAGCCTGCCTCATCACCGACTGAGCTAAGCCCCAATGTGATCACTGGATTTCACCATTGGATTGATTCAAAACAATTTATATCTTGAACCGTGCGTCCAAATCGTAAACCGTTTTCATCACTGGATTTCTCGCATCAAGATTTTTGAAACTACAACCATTTTAATAGGTTTCGACAATCTTTTTTTCAAAATAAACCAAAATAAAGAACCCGGAGTCGGAAGCATGGTCTTTTTCACTTTTATTTTCTTTTCGCGCGGAACCAAATATGTGTTTCTTGTGGAAGCACATTTTTTTTCCTTTATGAGAAGCATAGACGTACTTCTTGCATAAGTAAATTTGTGCCTCTACGACAAGTAAATATGTGCTTTTTGTGGAAGCACTTTTTTCAGGGAAGCACAACTGTACTTCTCACAAAAGCAAATATATGCCTCCACGAAAAGCATTTGTGCTTCCTGTGGAAGCACAACTTTTTCTTCCGAGAAACACAACCATGCTTTTTACGGAATCAAATTTATGCCTCCACAGAAGCATCTTTTCATGGAGCACAACTAAGCTTCTCGTGAAATTAAATATGTGCTTCGACGATAAGCAAATTTGTGCTTCTCATGGAAGTACATGTTTTTTTCCTTTCCGCTTCTCGCAGAAGCAATTTTGTGCCTCCACAAGAAACAAATCTATGCTTCTCATGAAAGCATAGTTTTTTTTTCTTTGAAGAAGTTCTAGCGAAAGCATATCTGTTAGACTATTCCTTGGATCACAAGTTTTCTAGTCGAAGTCGGTTTGTAATATCTAGTCTAAGTCAGTTTGTACCTATATATATGTACTCGTGCTAAACATAATACAAGCAATAGTTTTATTCATCTATCATGGTATCAGTTTTTCGATCCTAGGGTTTAGGGTATGGCTCCATCCACCCCACCACCACCGCCGCCGCCTGGTGATGCGGCCTCCTTCATCCCCATGATGCGGCCTCCTCCAACCTTCGCTAAAGTCCGCTTCATGTTGCAGCCCACGGCGGACACTCAAACCCGCAAGGACTCCAGCCCACGGGTCTTCCATGCTGCGGCTCGTCCTCCTACGCCGTCGCCATCAGCGCCTCCCCCGCCAGCTCCTGCCTCCACGCCGCCCCTGATGCCATCCATGCAGCTACCTCCAGGCTGGCGGTCCAGTCCCAACTACCGCGACAAAAACCCCATCTACAGGCCGCCTTCGACGCGCTCGGCGCCTCCTTCTACACTGCCGCCTTCAAACCCTGCGCCGGCTCCGAGTGCTCCACCTGCGGTTCCATCCTGGCGTCCTCCGCATGATCCATGGACCGGGCTTGTCCAGGCATGGCCTATGCCCTGGCCTGCCCCGTCCCCCCTTGGCGCTCCACCTGCCTACACCGGTGCTTGGCAACCCGACCTTCGTCCGCATACTAGTGCCCCTGGGTTGCTCACCCCTCGACAGCCAGCGAACGCATATCATGCTGCTCCATCTTATGATCCTTACGGTGCTCCCTCGCCCTCTCCAGCTGACGAAAGTCTCTACTACATGCCCTTGTCGGCTCTCCTGACTTCACCGGCATATCAGCCCCCGCCGCTACCTGATACGTCTCCAACGTATCTATAATTTTTGATTGTTTCATGTTATTATATTATCTGTTTTGGGTGTTTTTATATGCATTATTATGCTATTTTATATTATTTTTAGGACTAACCTATTAACCCAGAACCCAGTGCCAGTTTCTGTTTTTTCCTTGTTTTTGAGCTTCTCAGAAAAGGAATACTAAACGGAGGCCAAACGGAATAAAATTTCACGATGATTTTTCTTGGACCAGAAGACACCGAGGAGACTTGGAGTCCAATTCAGAAGAGCCACGAGGCAGCGACAAGGGTGGAGGTCGCGCCCAGGGGGGTAGGGCGCGCTCCCCTACCTTGTGGGCCCCTCGGTGACCCCCTGACCTAGATCTTCCTCCTATATATTTCCAAATATTCCCAAACCACCAAAAGCATCCACGAAAACACTTTTCCATCACCGCAACCTTCTATTCCCATGAGATCCCATATAGGGACCTTTTCCGGCACCGTGCCGGAGGGGGATTCGATCATGGAGGGCATCTACATAAACTCTATTGCCCCTCCGATGAAGAGTGAGTAGTCCACCACAGACCTACGGGTCCATAGCTAGTAGCTAGATGGCTTCTTCTCTCTCTTTGATTCTCAATACCATGTTCTCATCGATGTTCTTAAAGATCTATCCGATGTAATCTTCTTTTGCGGTGTGTTTGTCGAGATCCAATGAATTGTGGATTTATGATCAACTTATCTATGAATATTATTTGAATCTCCTCTGAATTCTTATATGCATAATTTGGTATCTTTGTATTTCTCTTCAAATTATCGGTTTAGTTTGGCCAACTAGATTGGTTTTTCTTGCAATGGGAGAGGTGCTTAGCTTTGGGTTCAATCTTGCGGTGTCCTCACCCAGTGACAAAGTAGGGGTAGTGAGGCACGTATAGCATTGTTGCCATCGAGGATAAAAAGATGGGGTTTTCATAATATTTCTTGATTTAATTCCTCTACATCATGTCATCTTACTTAATGTGTTACTCTGTTCTTTATGAACTTAATACTCTAGATGTAGGCAGGAGTCGGTTGATGTGTGGAGTAATAGTAGTAGATGTAGAATCGTTTCGGTCTACTTGACACGGACATGATGCCTATATTGCATAATCATTTTCTTGGATATCGTCATAACTTTGCGCTTTTCTATCAATTGCTCGACAGTAATTTGTTCACCCATCGTATTATTTTCCTTCAAGAGAGAAGCCTCTAGTGAAACCTATGGCCTCGGGTCTATTTTCCATCATATTATTTTCCGATCTTCTATTTCTCATCATCTTAGTTTCCAATCTACTACTTTGCAATCTTTTACTTTCAGATCTATAAACCAAAAAACCCAAAATAGTTTATCTTTTGTTTATCTATCTCTATCAGATCTCACTTTTGCAAGTAACCGTGAAGGGATTGACAACCCCTTTATCACATTGGGTGCAAGTTGTTTGATTGTTTGTGCGGGTATTGGTGATTTGTGCATTCTTCCCCTACTGGATTGATATATTGGTTCTCAAACTAAGGGAAATACTTATCTCTACTTTGCTGCATCACCCTTTCCTCTTCATGGGAAAAACCAACGCAAGCTCAAGAAGTAGCAGGAAGAATTTCTGGTGCCGTTTTCGGGGAGATCTACGCCAAGTCAAGACATGCCAAGTACCCATCATAAAACTCCCATCTCTTGCATTACATTATTCGCCATTCACCTCTCGTTTTTCTCTCCCCCACTTCTAAAATGATTTTTGAAAAGATTCGCCCTTTTCTTCTCCCTTTTTCCGTTCGTCTTTTCATTTACTTTTTGTTCGCTCGTGTGTTAGATCGCTTGTCTCGCTTTCATGGCTAGTCATCCCGTCATTGTTAGCACTCCCGATAATGAGGTCCTTAACTTTAAGCAAAGGCAGGGAGAAAATTTAAAAGATGCTTGGTATAGAATTTGCAATGGTCAAAATAGATCTACTCGAAAGCAATCTACTGTCGTTCTCCTTCACAATTTTTATGTGGGCATTACTCCTTGGAATAGATATGTTCTAGATACCATTATCGGGGGGAATTTCTTGGGGAGCCATACTTTTGATTCTTATAATGCTACGATAGATTTGTTAGGCCCACCACCTCTTATGGTCAATGGAACTGATTTAACCTTGGAACATGTTATGCAAAGGCTTTATATTATTGAGAATAAAATTGCTACCGTAGAGTTGATTGAAAATTTGGATAAAAAGATTCATAATCATATCACTCAATATGGATCTAATGTAGGAGTTACTTTAAAAAATCTTAGGGAAAATGAACCCATAGTTAATGAAAAGATAGATCTAGATTCTGCTAGAATTGGCAAACTAGAAGATATTATTACCAACTTGGGTTCCGCCTTTTCCTCCATTAAAACAACTCAAGATTTTTCCTTCCACTAAGGCCATGAAGTTTGTTTATGTTCCTAAGCATAACGGTGAATCTTCTAGTAAAGGTAATGAAGATCTCAAAACAATAAGTGTTCACTCTAAATTTTTCTATATTATTAAGGAACCAATTGCTACAAGTGAATTTCTTGATTTCTTGCCTAGGAGTTTGATTATTGATAAAACCAAAATATCTCCTAAGGATTATAAGTGTGCAATCGAGAAATGGCATACCAAAGATGACAATACCTAGATCTATGTTTTCTGCCTAGCTAAGGGCGTTAAACAATAGCGCTTGTTGGGAGGCAACCCAGTTTTATTTTTGTTTTTGCATTTTTTGGTTCTGTTTTTCAATAAATAATTCATGTAGCCTCTGGTTAGATGTGTTCTTGTATTTTAATTAGTGTTTTTGCCAAGTAAGACCTATGGGATGGCTTATAGTGATAGTTGATTTGATCTTGCTGAAAAACAGAAACTTTTGCACACAGAAGAATAATTTTCGTAATTCACAGAAGCGTGCTTTTAATCTAAATTGTCTGCACGACTGATATACAAATTACCCAGGTTTTCCTATTTTTTCAGA